TTTTTTGTGTCCCCCCCCCCCCCCCCCCCCCTTATATATATATTTAAATTCATCAATAATTACTCAACTTTGTATATAGTGTTATCATGGCCATTCAATTTGATTTTGTTTCATCATGATCATCTAACTTTATATTTATTGTCACCATGTTCACCCAATTTAATTTTCATAGTTAAGCCAAAAGTATATAAATATATTTTTTTTTTAAATCTAAATGAGTTATCTATATTTCTTTTAACGTTATTTTTGCATTTCTTAAATAATTTTAGTCAATATAAGCAAAATCTTGGCAAAAACAAATTACATCAAATTCTGTAATAATACATAACTATATATAGTAATTTGTTTTACAAATTTTAGCAGCAATAAGATCAAATTCTGCCATTCAATAATTATCACTAGAGTGCTAAAGAAGTAAAAGAGGATACATTTAACTCTGTTTTGTCAATTATGAAATTGCTATTAAAATGGAAGCATATAGGAGGATTCGAGGTCTTAGTGCTTGCCATTATTTGAGTATTCATAAACGCTTCCCGATTAATTAGTTAGATTAATTGTTAGATTAGTTTTAAGTTTAATCAGTAAATATCATTCAACTCATCATAAATGTGTTGTTCAATTAGAGTTAAGTTGATTGAAAATTAGGTTAGATACTTAGTCCTCGAATTGCATAATTCGGGATCCATTTGTACTTTTTCCAAAGCTTAGGGATCCAATTGCAGTTTTTTCCTAAAATTGAGGACGTATTGGTCCCTTTACTAGAAAAAAAATGACCAATTGAACTCTAAACACAGTATAAGGACATCAATGCCAAGAAACAAAATTTATGGACCATTTTCGTATTGAAGGAAAGAGTTAGGGACCATTTATGCTAAATCCCCTCTGATTTACAGAAAGGTTTAAAACAATAAAATTCTTAGCAACATTAACAAATATCCTAAAATTCATGTCGCCTTTTACCATTTAACGTGCTACATCTTAATTTTAACTACATGGAGTTATGTTTTTTATTCATATATTCAAATCAATCATGGAAAATTATATTTTTATAAATCTAAATTTTGTAAAATTGAATATTGAAAATTCAGAATTCTACACCATTCAATTCTATGAAATGATCATTCATAATTTTTTTTTTTAATCCTTATTTCAGTGGATGGAAATTTTAAGGTCAGCGAGAGACCTAAGAGGTTAAATAAGTAACTTAAAATGCATTAAGCACAACTAAAAATGCACTTAGAACTCTTTGGAACAGTTTTCGCTCCAAGCTTTCGAGTGAATAAATCTCAAAATTTACGTTTTTTTTTAAATGATTGTGGGTATTGGAGCTAACTTACACGCACTTCGACTAATTTCACAGAGCTTTGAAGTTTACATTCAAATACTCACTTCGGTGGCTCTGAAAAAACTTAAACTAACGACCACTAGAGAACAAATTCAAAATCTGACCAATGAGTTAACCCCTCACCTCATTTGCTCGAGAGAACTCGAACTAGTGACCATTAGAGAGCAAATCTAAAATCTGACCACTGAACTACTTCTCAGAGTTAAATCTCAAAATTTACCATAATACTAAAATATCAAAACTATCATTTTTTGAAAAAGCACAACTATCAAATTAGTACTAATAATTTTGCTATACCTTGATATTTGTGCACTTTTTCCTCCATATACGTAAAAATGTTAACAGTTGGCAATATACGATTGAATGGGAAAATTAATTGTGTTTCAAATAGTTCAATAATATTATGTCACGTGACATTATGTCAAAAACAATGTCGACTCTTATATTATTGTAGCATGATTCTATATTTTTTTGTTGCAGAGTTAGGCCAAAAGCATATTTTTAAATCTAATTGTGTTAGTTATTTTTCTTGTACTGTTATTTATGCATTTCTTAAATAATTTTAGTCAACATAAGCAAGTGCTTGGAAAAATTTTTTCATCAAATGCCATAATAATACGTAACTAAAATTTTAGCAGCAGTAAGATCAAATTCTGCCATTCAATAATTATCACTAGAATGCTAAAGTAGTATAAAAGGATACTATTAACTCTATTTCCAAAATCTAGCTTTTAACCCCAACCTTCTTACAAACTCACTCAGACCAATATACACACGAGAGTAAAAGAAACAGAGATCTTCTAAGGTAGATTGATTGATCATCAAGAGATGTCTATAGGCCACACAACCGACAGAACCCAGATCTTATCTCTACGCCGAGCATAAGGAAATCGTGCATCAGACGACGGCTCAAACCGTGTATGACTGCTGAATTGTTTCTATATCAAGATTCTTCAGTTTTACGACGGATTCAACATGGCCTTTCAGTGTTGTCAGTTCTCTCAGCCTGAAAATCAAGGCAATGTAACGCATCATAACATGCATGACGAAACTCATCAACCATAAACTTAAACAGGATAAACATGGTCTGCAATGGTTAATTGTCAGAAAAATGTAAAGATTTTCCGTTGAGTTTATGCAAACAGTGTTAACACTATTTCTGTACCTTGCTATCTCAGCTCGCCGTTTTGCCTCTTCAGCTATCTGATTAAGGTCATTGTAATTACTTCGTTCAGTAAACTGCGTCTCCGGTGGATGCAATCCATGGAGAGTCCTCTGTGCCTGTGCCCATTTAAGCTCACGATCTTCCTTTCCAAAATCCTTTTTCCTTGTGAACGCAATCTGCAAAAGAACATT